CCCCCCGTCCCCGGCCCGCCACGTCATGGGCCGGAGATTTAGCTCAGTGACACCGCACCTGCCTCAAAGTCCAGGTCCCTGGTACCAAAAAATAAATAAAAACACTCCTAATCTACCTCTTCTAAAGCTTGCTAAGATCATTTCTTGATGAGTAATTTTATCAGCATTCTAATTGGTTTTCCTTCCTTTGTTTTTGCAAGTTGGTCTCGTTACCTTCTATTTACTCCCTCCCAGCTCTTGGTCCACTCTTTGTGTGCCATAAATATTTCTCAGGTGATGTCATACTTGATTACTTAAAAACCTCCAGGGCTTTCCTTTACACCTCAATTGAAACCCAAACCCCTTAGCCTGGCCAGAAGCCCTCAGGCCTCCGTTGTCAGACTTTCCCCTTATTACTCATTCTGCCCTGCACACTGGCTTTCTTTCTGTTTTAAAGTTGAACAGGTCTTTGCACTTGGTCTTCTTTCTGCCTGGAACACTTTTTTTCTTGGTCTGGGCGTGGTGATGCATGCGTGTAATCCCAGCACTCAGGAGGCGGAGGCAGGAGGATCACAGCGAGTTCAGGCCAGCCTGGACTACCTAATGAGACCCTGTCTCAAAAAACCAAAGGGCCGGGGATTTAGCTCAGTGGTTTCAGCGCCAGCCTCGCAAGCGCAAGGTCCCGAGTTTGATCTCTGGTACAAAAAAAAAAGTTTCTTGACCACCCCAATTAAAGTAGGCTGGACTATTCACTATTTTATCTTATTTTTTTCTTTACCGTCCATGATTTCTGAAATTAACACATTTCTTCCCTGTTGTTCCCCACCACCCCTCCTCAGAGGAGGCAAAGAAGTTTTGTGTGTTCACTGCAGTTTCCCTCACACCTAGTAAAGTGCCCAGTACAAAGAAGTCACTCAGTGAGTGATTGCTTGATAAAGTGCAAGTTCCAGCCTTAATCAGAATTCTTGTCCTATTCCCCCTTGGTGTACGCTTATCATCCCCAGCACAACCTTGCTCAGTTTATTCTCAGTTCATCTTCTTGATCATTGTATCTGCTTTCCCCTGCCATACTTGGAATGCCAGAGACTTAAAAAAACAAACCAGACAATCCTTAGATGTCTTTTATCAGCTCTATCTCAGTCCTTGCAAACCCAGTTGTTTTATGTTGGGACCATTATTCTTTCTCTGCTTATCTCACCCTTCCTTTTGGTTAAATTGGGCTTTTCATGCAGATCGGAAATGTCTGTCACTTCACCATCGAGTTCAGCTAGTCTGTGCTGTACAGAATACACTTAGCAAAGCCAGCACATCCTATGGTGTGGTGGTGGGGCCAGGCCAGTTGACGTCTGTGTCCTCTCCTGGCCCAGGCTCCAGCTGCAGAGAAATTCGTGGTAATTTAAAAGTGGTTCACTTAACATGAGTTTGGGATAGGGGCGCCTTTGAAGACTAAGCTGGAGGACAGTCCTATAAATACTTAGCTCCTTTCGTCAGGTATGCTTGTCACCTGACAGCTTCTTTGGTGTGGAGACAGCTGCTCACTGTAAACAGAAGCAGAAGAGATGTGCAGGGGTGGCAGAAAGTTAGTGCTGCCATTAAACTGAGGCAGTTTGTCAGCCTCCCAGACACTTAAACAGCAGTGGCTGAGTCATCAGGCTTTTGCTGGGAAAGCCAAATCCATTCTACCACCACCATAACCATTACCCTTT